AGCCAGTTGTGGCCAGATGCAGCAGGTGCGCCACTTTGGGACGTGGAAGGTAATGGGTGATGAAAATTTGAACGTGCTTCTCAGACAAGTGATTTGTAATTCATTGAAGTTACTAAGTGTGGTAAAAGCAAGTTATTTTTTCCTCATAAATTGATCAAGAAGATGCATTGGGTTTCATGGAAAACCTTCAAATGTCTGTGGGCTATTGACCAAAAATCATGATGACCATTGTTGCCTCTCAAACTTGGCAATTCTTCAGAATTTGGCTATGTCCAGCTGGGGAGCCCAATTTCTCCTAAGGCCAGAAAGCTTTGCCAAAATCCCATTTGGCAAGACTCACTGAGCCTCATCCAAGGACAAATAAGTGGAAACAGTTCGTTGATTCTACCTGAATTGACAAATCACCTGATTTCTTCCTGACCAGTGTCAAGACCCAGGTAGGAATCCCTTCATTTCTCTTGAACGAGAGGAGGAAGAGGATTCTTTAGTGTTGAATTATCTTTGCTAAACAACCAATCTCACAACCTCCCATTGAATGATAAACCTATTTTAAAATTACATAAAACCATTCAGCAATGTCTTTAGCAGCCAAAGGACAATAAAGGCACCTGAGAAGTATCTTTTTTGAATTGGGGTTGAGTCCTTCAAAATTTGCACTCTAATGGCTGCAAAATTCAATTCTTTTACATGGGATCTGATTGAGCACTGACAAAAAAGTCAAACAATCACCACACTTTTCTCAAGTGGGGCCCCAAGATATAGATGTAAATTATTGTTCTTCAACCTTGTCCCTAAGTCAGAACATCAATAGCATGTTGGATAATGTTTTTCCTCCTATTCAACAGGGATGCATTATGTGCTTAACCCTTGGGCAGTGGAGGGTTCTCTTGCATAGCGCAGGTGTGCCTAGATTTTTTTTGCAGTCTCCTGGATTTAGGTTTGACCGAAGGCCACCAGAATGCACCTTTGGCTGAGTAGCTGAAGTCAGGAAAACCCTGCAAAAAGAAAGTCTTTGTCCTGATAATCCCGAATACTAATCAAATGACAGGAATTCAGAAAAAATGCCACCCAACAGTCAACTTTTTTTTTAAGTTTTTTCTGCAGGAATGCTAAAACAAATTGGGATTTTTCCTGGCCTTGGTTCTTCTAATAATTTGCCCCCCCCCCCTTTTTTAGCCCTTGCGGCCCAAAAGTTGGTTGTTGAATACCATCAAATCTGCCCAGGGGTTGATTGATTGATCAAAATTGGAAAATAATTCCTGAAAAAATGGGATAAAATCAATTTTCTCAACTTCAAGACCCAAAAAAATAACTGTGCAGAAGAAAAGCTCACAGAATCTGATCTTTTTGTGAGATAACTGCCACAACAAACAAATAACTCTAAAAATTATTTATACAATTTTCACATATGATCTGACTCTGCAAAAGGAAGCACAAAGCTAGACTGTCTTTCATGTTGAATTCTAATGAATTCATGACAAAATAATCTTCAATTTCTGTGAAAATTGCACAGCAGCTCCAGGATTTTTCTGTGCTTCTGAATTTTTAATGTATGAAAGGACACAAAAATGCACCTTGGACCGATTAGGCAAAGATTGGAAAAATTCAGGGAAGGGAAAAGCGGAAAGCCATTGTTTTGAAAATCCCTCAATGCTACTTTTATGAGAGGAATGCAGGAAAAATGCCACACAGCAGTTTTTTCTTTTTTTCGTTTTTATTTTTCATGACATTTTTGTCTATAATAATTCCAACAAATCTGGGATTTTTCAAAACTATCACACTTGTTTTGTGATTCTTTGTTATCCTTGTGGGACACAATTTTGCAGATAAATCCCAGTCCCTCTGCGCCGAAAGAAATGCCTTAGCTCCACCAATGAACTGATTGAAACCCAGTAAAGTATTTGTGAGCCTATTAAATTCCATTCAAAAGCGAACATTATACAGTGGCCCCCCACCTATAACGACATCCTAAATAAAGGATTTTTGCCTAACAGACTAGCTCTGTAGGCAGTTTTCCTTTCGCCCAACAGACAGAATACACCAGAAAGATGTTTTAAAATTATTTTTAACAATTAAAAATTTCAATGTTTCAAATGGTTGAATTTGTCTAAAGGACTTTTAGTCTAACATATTTGTCCAGCGAACAAATTAAGTCCATTAGATGGGTGTTGATTGTACTTTCAAAGTTTCAGTGAAATCTTCAAAGATTCAGACCACATTTATTCGAAAATCAAACTTCATTCCTCTCAGCTGATAAATATTGATTTTGTTAAGATCTAAGCACATAAAAATTCTTGAAACGAGGAACCACAAGAGAAATGGAGTGTGTTTTCATCAAGGAACTCACCATCAGGAAATCGATTGTGGAACCGATACCCGGTCACTTGTGAAATGAAGAACACGACACAAATAGCTCTTGAAATCATTCTCCTCAGCACGTGAAAATTATCTTCTACACAGTTCCACACAACAACAACAAAATACGAGAAGCAAGAATCCATGATAAATACACAAATAAACAGCACTGCTTCAGGCACAAAATTTTTTTCCAATGAATTTTTGCTACGGTTTTCAGTCAAATTCAAAATCAAATAAGGGGCCAGCAAAAATTTGAGTTTGGGAGGTTTCAAATTAGAGAAACAGCCATTTTTCAACAACTAAAGACAGAAAATTTAGGAAATTTCAATTCATGCTACTATACAGATCTTAAAATGCTTCTTGAATGCATTGACAGGATGCAGAAATTGGAGGCAGCAGTTCATTCACAAAAACAGTTTTCCATCTACTTCTAAAACACATCAAATTTAATTTTGCATTGCTTTGCTCTCTTCTGTGCCAATTAAATAATAGCCAAACGGGTTCCTGAAAATATGAGTGGTTCCAGAAGAAAACCTTTGAGTTGGGGACATTTTTGGTAAATTGTTTCCACTGAAATTCACACACCGACTTCAACACGGGGATGTACTTGACTTGGGTATGGGGGAATTGGAGTTCAACAGGAAAGATCTAAGCACATAAAAATTCTTGAAACGAGGAACCACAAGAGAAATGGAGTGTGTTTTCATCAAGGAACTCACCATCAGGAAATCGATTGTGGAACCGATACCCGGTCACTTGTGAAATGAAGACCACGACACAAATAGCTCTTGAAATCATTCTCCTGAGCACGTGAAAATTATCTTCTACACAGTTCCACATAACAACAACAACAAAATACGAGAAGCAAGAATCCATGATAAATACACAAATAAACAGCACTGCTTCAGGCACACAATTTTTTTCCAATGAATTTTTGCCACGATTTTCAGTCAAATTCAAAATCAAATAAGGGGCCAGCAAAAATTTGAGTTTGGGAGGTTTCAAATTAGAGAAACAGCCATTTTTCAACAACTAAAGACAGAAAATTTAGGAAATTTCAATTCATGTTACTATACAGATCTTAAAATGCTTCTTGAATGCATTGACAGGATGCAGAAATTGGAGGCAGCAGTTCATTCACAAAAACAGTTTTCCATCTACTTCCAAAACACATCAAATTAAATTTTGCATTGTTTGCTCTCTTCTGTGCCAATTAAATAATAGCCAAACGGGTTCCTGAAAATATAAGTGGTTCCAGAAGAAAACCTTTGAGTTGGGGACATTTTTGGTAAATTGTTTCCACTGAAATTCACACACCGACTTCAACACGGGGATGTACTTGACTTGGGTATGGGGGAATTGGAGTTCAACAGGTTCAACTGCACATGTCAGAAATTGAATGCGACCTTGCAGTGTCAAGGCTGAAGTTCCACTGACACCGAATCTTGCGAATACTAAAGTGAGGCGCCTGCACATGGGTGTTGATGAGCAAGCCGAGTGGCTTCGAGTTACTTTTAATAATAAGGAATTTCACCTTTCTCCCTTTGTCGCGAGGATCATCCTCAAAAAAAAAAAAAAAAAAAAAAAAAGAGTCCCCCCTNGAAAAGAAAAAAAAAAAAAAAAAAAAAAAAAAAAAAAAAGGAGTCCCACGTTACGGGCCATTGTTGTGCTGAAGAGATCGTGTGCCAGGTGCTGCGTGGCAGAGAACTCCTATGCTGGCATTATTACCACCTTCCATTACCACGTTCTACAATCATCATATCTTTGAAATCCGTGTTCTTCAAAAAGGATTTTAATCTATATTATATTTTTAACAATATAGAAAATTTTATGGAAAATGGTAGAAAATATTGAAATGATGTTCCCCTCTATGTAATTAAAGTAGAATTTAATTTCAACAAATCTGTTGATGAAAATTTTTTTCTTGCAACGAATTTTCTTTCAAGTACTGCCAGCACTTATCCTTCAGCATAAATTAATCTAATTTGAATGAATCACATTTTTCCAAGCTCTCAAATTACAGTCAACCCCCTTCTAATGAACTTCATTTGTGCAACAGACAAGTCTGTTCAGACAAAAAGCCCTTCAGGCAAATTCATTAATATAAAAAATTAGAAAATTTTTATTTCCAACATTAATTTGAAACCAAAAGAAGTCTGTTTCGCAGATTTTGTCTGTTGGGCGGGAGGAAAAACTGCTTGCAGAGCTGGTCTGTTATGCAAAAATCTCTTGGGCAGGAAGCCACTTTATAACAAATTTTTAGTCCCCAAGTTTTTAAATTTTTTTCATCCAAATGTCACATTTTTTGCCCCAACTGTTTTATGATTCTTGGGGCTCATTATCAGTACATGATGGACAGGAAATGTGTCTGCCTCAGATTTAAAACATACATTCTGGGGGACTACAAAAATTTTTCAGCATAAAAAATTGTTTCTCATTTCCTGGTAAAAAGCTCATGAAATGCTTATGAAGCCAATTTGATCACCACAAACTTTCTAATTCAAATGACTACAGACACTTCAAAATAGGTTAAATGTCTGGAGGAAGGCTCTGGTCAATTATAAAATTAATGATATTGTGGACAGCCTTCCAAAAACCTTTACAAAATAAATAATAATGAAACCACAAGAAAAGAGAGTAACAGAGACGAAAACCCTTGGCAGATTCCCTTTCAGTTTAATGTTAACTTCAAAGTAATCTCTTACGCAGAATCTCAAAATTGTTAGTGCCTCGGAACCGAGATCATGACCTGAATAAAAAGTTCATGCAAAGAAAAAGATCATGAAAGTTTTTCTCACCAGCACCCAAGAAAAATGAGCAATCAAAATGGCCGTGGAACTAGGAATGGGTCGAAAAAGGCTGCCAATCACGATGACGAACTGCCATCCGTGGGTGCAGTCAATTCCGTGCCAATTTTGGATAGATCGTCCAGCAAAAACGTCAGCCCTGCAAATGAAAAGAGCACTTGTCACACGCTGAAAGATGTCAATTCGGACACTTGGAAAGCATCTCCGAATGATGTCGACTTCTCGTCGATCATTTCCGCTGTCAATGGAGGAATTCTTGACGTTTTCAACTGCATTCGGGTAAGACATACGATTTGTAATTCTAATTTACCTAAACTTTTTGTTAACTCGGGAATTTTGAAAGAAGAACTTTCTGCTGTGCAGTATAAAAAGAAATTGAATTTTTTTGATCACATTTTGATCCGCAAACGATTATTCCTACTTTTTAACTATCTTGCAAGATGACAGACGCTGTATAAATTTAAATTGCTGCTGACGATATAATACATGTCATCTGTTTTTTTTTCAGTCTATTGTCTTTTTAATGAGGAGCATTTTTAAATGAAGTTGTCCTCAGCTTTTCCAAATTGATTGCTGTCAGCAAGCGTCTTGTTCTGAAAACTTATTTTGTAAAAGAAAACTAATTCCATGGAGAGACTATGAGTGCAAATTTTTCAATTCAGTGGAACCCTCTCATATGGACAATTTAATTGAGAGACACTAAAAATAGAACAAAAAAATTTGCTCTGATATTTGGACATTGTCTACAGATGCAGACACTTTCGCACAAATTGTAGCAATGTATATTTATAAATTTTGATGTTTCTTGAACAATATGAACAATTCATCTTTGAAAGTCCAAAAAATTTCTTCGTGAAATTTCTCTAAATCATCATCAAATAAGCAGACTAAGTTTATGCATATTTTTTAGGAATCTTCTTTTTTAGGTCTGCAGAAAAACGTGGTACCTTGCAATTTTACCTCCAGCAATTCAACCAACACTCAATTTGACAGTTGAATTTGCAGGGAAAATGACTTGCAATTTGACTGGTGTCTCTCTCTTTGATCTGCTTAGACCACTTTTTCCACATTTTTGTTCCCATATTTTTAAAATTTCAGGAATTGTCTTGCAATTTGACTGTTTTGCAATAAAACCCTAGTTACTTGAGCAATGGATTAGGGTCAAATTGTGAGGTACCTACATGCATAGTTAGACCTTTTTTGATCTTTATTCTTGCCAAAAGATGCAATTGTGTGTGTTTCACTGTTTCTGCACTGTTTCATGCTTTTTGAAGTTCAGAAACGTTTATGATGAATTTTTATGGGGATTTATTCCTGAATTCTTTTGAACAGAAGAACCAATGTATTGTAATATGGTTTCATTCAAGTCCATGGAAAATGTTTTTCAATTTAAAGATGCTCTGTAAAGGTTGAAATACCAATAACATCTGCATCTCAGGGCACCACTGTGTACAGTATTCCAGGCTTACAAAAAATCCTTTCATGTAATAAAAAACAACTTGTGTACTACATATTACAAAACTCGTGTTTCAAATTATAACACTGTGTGCCAACAGAATTTCGCGGCGATAAAGAAAGCGGATGCCGATCAAAACGACGTGGAATGTCTGCAATCCGACATCATGCTCACACTCGCCAATTTGGACCGCGAAATCGATTACCTACAGCGGAAATGCAAATCCCAAGCCCCCGAAGTCTCCAACATTTCCATCCGAATGGCAATGATCTTGAAACTATGGGCCAAAATCACTGAATTGCCAAAGGAATCGTTGACGCAGCTGCCAGTGAACTTGACGACGGAAATCTCTCCTGAAAATGACTCCAATTCACAATTCAGCAGCAAGATGCAATTAGCAAAGAATTCCTGCCAAGAAGCATCTCCCAAGGAAGCTTCGTCAACTCCGCCGAAATCCTCGAAACTGAAGCAAAAACCGGAGAAATTCTCTCCAATCGAATACGCTGACTTCCATGTTTCCTCAGCTGCCTACAAGATGTCGTCTCTTCACAGTCCTTACGTATCTCCGCAAAAGCGGGAATCAGTCATCGACCTAATCATGAAAAAGTCGTCTTCAACATCAAAATCACATCGGATCGAGGCGCAAAAGTTCGACATCTGGAAAACGATTCAAGACCAAGTTTTCACCTATTTTTCCAGAAGACCCGCTTCAATCACCCAGAATAAATATCGAGCTGGACAAAAGATACAGAATAAATCCTCATCAATAACCCTCCCCAGCAAAAACCCACCGAAAGAACCCCAAGATTTAGAATTCGAGGCCAACAAGGAAAGATATCGATCCACAGCCAAAGCCATTCGCAAACCTCTTCCACCTCACATCGCTGTGAAATTCGACACCGATGACAAGAAACCCCAAATCAAATCCGCAATCCATGTCCTCGAACATGTTTCCTTCGTCGCGAAAACTGTCGAAAGTAAACCTGGTCATAAAACCTCGTCTTTAACCATCAAACACGACTCGAAGAAGTGGAAAAGCATGACTTTACCCCGGGGCAGCGGTGGAGGAAAAAGCACAGGACTCATCGCTCAGACGAATAAAGCAGGCAACCCTGAAGATGACACCATGTCTAGTTATGTTCCATCGTCTTCCAAATCCGATCATAATAACCACCATCATCATCATCACCACCATCACAATCATCATCGACGCCATCAAACCCGAAAAAAGTCCCAAGAACCAACACCTGATTCGACGACGTCGTCTTACAAAATGTCGGAAAGGATTATAAACGAAAAGCCGTTTGGGTCCCCTGGGGAATTGCCGACAACATTGGGCGGTGTTTTGGACCCGCAAAATATGCCTCCACTGAAATCGGACTTGTTGCCGAGTTTGTCGCTTGCCAATTCTGAGCCAAGGTCGCCAACGGCGAAAAAAGACCGCCATCGATCGCGTGCGAGGGGTCATGAGAAAGCAGTACGCAAACGCTCGGTTCCACCGGACACAGTTGAGGAGGATGAAGGGACGAAAAACACGGGAACTTCTCCGATTTTGCCAAAATCTGAGCAAGATTTATCTCCGCGAAATTCCAGACCGAGTCATCGGGAATTGGTGAAAGTCAAGAGTAGACCGTGATGCAAAATATGCTGCCATATTTTCTCATTATTCGTGCATAATATTTGGGACGCGCGAAGGGAGAAAAACGCGATATGTCTATAATTGCGCTCACGTTCACTTACTTTTGTCATTCCTGCTACACTGTTACCCAATAAAATTATGAAAAATTGACGAGCATCGATGTTGTTTTCTTTCACGCAAACAGCGCATGGCTTTATCTCAGCATAATTTACATGCTGAAAGTGAGTTTTGCACTTTTTCATAAAAATACTGTACATTAGAAAACCTCTTATTCGTTAATTTTCAAATAAATATACAGTACAATGCTGGGGCGAGTGCAAGAGGGTATTTACCACATGCGGTTTGTTTTTTTTTTTTTTTGGCACTGATTATGCTACCACCAAATGTTTGGAGTCAATTCCACGGGAATAACTCCAGTTGCATGCTGTACGTCTTTTGCAGTGACACCTACCAAAGAGAGTGATAAGCATTGTGCGTGTCTGTTTCTTCTGAAGACAGATGCCCCACTTTCCCGTTGTTCGCATTACTTCCAACAGTTCATCAGGTCATATGCTTTCGGATGTGAGTTTCCAGAGCTGTACAATTTTATATACCAAGGAAAAAAATCGTGCAATGTAAGGTGTGAAGTACAATCTCATTCAAACACACTTACAGGGACTTGGCAAAAAAATTATGACTGAAAATCAGCAGTTGCATTGAGACTCATGAGTCATGATTAACACATTTTAGACCTGAAATCAGTGGAAAATGGACATAAAATTCTGAGAAGTGTTTTTACAGCAGATAATTGCAGACCTCTCATAATTTCAAAATTGTTCTGATGAACTTAGGAATTTTTTGAATCTATGTAGTTATACTTTGATTGTTGAAGTGCCTTTCTACTAATTTGATGTTTGTTTTTGAAAATAAAAAACAATACAAAAGTGCATGTCTAAGAAATTCTTCCTTCTAAATGAACTATTCATTCATAAAATTGTTCCATTTAAATAATAGGAACATGCTAAAATTACAATTGCTCATCTGAAAGAAAGACAGACAAAATGAAATGTATGTAAGTGAAAAAGTTTCGAAATATTTGTCATTCTGCATATTTTCTGGGGGGAAAATTCTCTCTCCAGAAGAACATTGTTTTTGATGGATTCCAACTGTTGTGCAAGATTTTTTTTTATCCATTTCCCATTCTGCAAATATTCCCTATATGACTCTTGCTCAGAATCAGGGGCAAGAATTTGTTGTACACTACTGCATTTACTATGCTTGAAGAAGGGAATAAATTTTATGATTTCAATCTGATTGTTGATTGAAGTAAGATTTTTTTCAACATGGTTCGTATGGAGAAACTGTGGGACAAACAAATAATCTGTAATCACGAGGTCAGTTTTGACTGCAAAAGGAATCGGACCCTATCTTTTCTTGCTGGAAGAAGAGTATTGCAGATTTTTTCTCCGTTGAGATGGCTGATGCTCAAGTTTGTCATTGATTCATACTGTCATGGAGATAATTGAGAAAATATTATGGAGACATCAATATGAATGCATCCGATTCCGATGGAAGAGAATTTTCGATTTTGTTTCCGTTTCCGAGGTTTTGGTGCAGTTGATGAATTTTCCTTTACCGGTATTTTTCGGGAAAACTTAGCCAATCCTCATCCCAGCTGCTGAGTTCTTGATTAGATGTAGATTTACAGTCATTTTCAGATACAGCATACGTCTTTGTTGCTGCCTGTGAGTTTTTTTGGCAATCATTGGCTTTCTTCAGAAGTATCATATAGAGGAAGTTTCAAAGTTTATATGATTTATTGGAGTGTAAAATGTGAAGGGGACAAGGACAAATTGAGACAGGAAATTCAAGACACGGCCAACTTAAGCAAGGGACAATTTCAAGACAGAGTGTTTCAGAGACAGTACCAATGGGAAACATGGACATTTACAGACACGGAAAAAATGAGCCAAGGACAATTGGAGACATCAGATTCCCATATTACTAAATTCCTTTGTGATCATTATTCTATAGCATTTTTTTAAGGCTATAATTCTTACAATACACTTTGTTCATAGTAAGGGAAGAAATATTATCATATTGTTGACCAAACTAATTTTTTCCCCTTTTCACACCTTCAATATCCAGCAGAAATGTGGAAAGTCAAATTGAAAAGACCTTTGACTGAAATATACCTTATTATTGTCTTAATAAAAATGACTCAAATTGTCCCTGTCCTGGAAAGTTTGTGTCTTACAAAATTGTACCTATCTCAAAAAGTGTATGTCTCAACCAGTCCCAGTATCCAAAAATGTCTGTCTCAAAATGTCCCTGTCTCAAATTATATATCTCAATTTGTTCTAGATTTCACGTTAAGATTCAATTGCAACCTTGAACAGTTTTGGATTGATCAACTCACAAGCAAGCTTTCAATTTAATGATCATAATTTTCTTGAAGTCAACTGACTTCGAAGTATTTTTCTCTTATACATTATATAATAAAGTTTCACAATGAATTGTATTTCCTTCTTTGACATATATACAAGTGTTCATGGATATACCTGCATGGGACTCAAATTATAATTTTTTTATGCAGCTTCTTCACTCAGCCCAAATCATTCAGATCCTGCTTGATGTCAAAAATATGGTTTGGAGCAAGTTCATGTTCATTTTTCGAAGCTTTCCTTCTAAAAATTCGCTAACTGTAACAGACAGCTTTCTGGAAAATTTTAAAAATACTCTGGGCAGCATATTCAACATGAAATTTCACTGGTTCAAAATTAAATGAAATCGGACCTTCTTTTTTTCATTCGCATACGATTTTCTCGAGCATTTGAAATGCCTCATTGGCCTTGTTTCAAATGGAAAATACCTCTGGAATATTTGTACCTCATCAAAAATCAAGTCATGGGAGACCCAAAATAGCATATTCTGACGTGAGATTCAAAACACGGGCTGATTTTATAAAAGATATAGTTATATTTCGATGTGTCAGTGCAGCACCATTAATAACGAATGCATGACGATTTGATGAGAAAATCAAACAACGAGTGCATTTTTTAAAAACCGGTTGAGCTAAGGGATGGGAAAAGTTCTACTTTTCAAATTTCTAAATTGCTAGAATTTTTCAAAAATATTCCTGCAGTTTTTTTTAAATAAAAATACAAGTTAATATCAGAAAGAGCTGTAATTCTCTACAAATTTAGCTTTGCTGAATCGCACAGCACGAACAGATAAAACACTAGAAACTGGAATTGCTTTTCGTTCGAGGAGAAAAAGACGGAGCCAATCTATCATTTCTATCTTTGTTTTTTGAAAAAATACTTCTTTTTTTTGAAAAATATATTTGGACATCCGGAACAGGCAAGTGTTCGACACGGATCAGTCCCATGCTAAGCATTTCTTTCTCCCTTATTGCTTTTCGATACTCGATGCGAAAACGAGTTTCGCAAATTGCTTTTCAAGAATGTCATCGTCTCACTATCCGTACTATCGAAAGTTTCCTTGACTAATAATTCTAAGGTAATCCCTTGACCTAATATTCTTTTTTAGAAAAGGAAGGAATGTTATTGCTTTTTAAATCAGCATCTCTCCTGCGATGCAAATTTTTCCGCCAAAAATTGCTCCTCCAGTTCTTCCAAACGGAACCGTTTCGGCAAGCTGAGGATCCTCATCGTTGTTCGCATAGCTTCAGGAGAAAAGACCTGAGAATGTCAGTAATATTCAGTCATTGCTAAATTTTTGATGATATTGAGCAGACAGCTTACCTTTTGAGTCGATCAGAAGGGAGAAAGTTTGCTTTTCAGGTCCAAATGAGATAGAGATATAGTTCACAGCCCTGCTGAAGGACCATCCTATCTGAGTGTGCTGGAAAGTTTGCTAGTGCCAAGCACTAATCATTGCCTCTGAGGCATCTATTCTACTCCGTACACCTGAAATTCAAAAGATTTTTCCAGAATTGGCGGGAAAAAGCACACATTTTTTTCCGATCAACGATAAAAAAAATTGACCAAAATTCTTCACTGTGAAACACATTTCATTCATTGATGAAAACTGGGGCTGTATAAATGCGGATCAAATGTTTAATTATTGAGGAAAAATACAGATTTCTCATTATTCTCCAAAAATTGCCCAAAATTGCCCAATGATTTTTTGAAACCACAAGAATTGGAATAAAACAAATCAATCGATACAGAACTCGAAAGTTATCACTGTCTTCTATCTATAATACATTTATTCGAAGGATGAAATTGCAATGATTCAGCATTGAAAAATGGTAATCGAGGTTTCAAAATTCGAATCAGCTACATACGTAATATCATCACATTTCAGAGAGACTACTTTTAATTTTTTGCAAACTTGCCTAAAAATTTTCGCGATGAGTTTTTGAAATCCCAAGAATTGGAAGGAAAAAGCACACATTTTATTTTGATCAAAAATCAACACAAAATTCTCCGGAATTCATCATTGCCCAGTACATTTATCTTAATGATGAAAACTGGCAATAATTTTGAATATAAACTAATGAGAACTCGATCTGTAGAAATACAAAATGAATATTCAATCTTCTGAGATATTGAAAAAAAAAACTCATGATTATCCTCCAAAAGTCGCCTCAAAATGAACACGATCAGTCATTTGAAACTCCTCAAAGAAAAAAAAAATGCACCAATCACATTTAAAAATATTATTAATTCGACACATGAATGCAAAAACGAACGAAGTCAATGTATGCTAATTTCTTTTCGAATCATCGTTGATCACTCATCGTTGAAAAATCAACGTCTTTGAATGCACTTTTGGTTTGAAACATCCTTGAAAATTTTTATAGCTGAAGTTTGTTCAGCATATTGAAAATAAATTCTAGAAGAAAATTATTGAGAAATTGCGTCCTTCGGTCCGGCATTTTGCTTCTTCAGCAATCAGCGCAAATATCCAAAAAGTCTAACCACAAATAAAAATAAGAAAGTGTTGCTTTCTTTTTGACACATTCTTCTATGCCTTTGTTTAAGAGCTTCGGAAGATTTTTCGCTGATTGAAAACCAGGAATCGGGGACGTTAAAAAAAATTCGCATTGAGGAAACAATTTCTGTCATTTTCTCTCGCAATTTTTTTTTCGTATTGGAGTGTGTAATATAAAGTTTCAGCCATGAAAATTTGCAAGGATTAGCGAGGAT